CTACTACGACTACTATTACGATTGTTACTGCTACTACGACTACTACTACGACTACTACTACTACTACTACTACTACTACTACTACTACTACTACTTTTACTACTACTACTACTACTACTACTACTACTACTACTACTACTACTACTACTACCACTACCACTACTACCACTACTACCACTACTACTAATACGACTACTAGTATTGCCACTATTATTACTACTACTACTACGACTACTACTACGACTACTACTACTACGATTGCTACTGTAGTACTACTACTTTCCACGGTTCTCGAGAGCCTGTGCCGAGGGTCCCGAGGAGCATGGTTGGGAGCGTTTCGTGGCTTCCTTAAGGCCACCTGGAGCCTCTAGGGCCCATTTGAGGGTCCCCGCGGGGCATGTTGGGGGCGCATCCCCAAGAGACTCTTCCGAGAGGGCGCCAACGCGGAGCGTGTCACAGGCCAGGATCCCAATCCACGGTCAGGGAATACTTGTAGCCCGGTGCCGCATAACCGCATCAACGTCTTCGCACTGCCAGCGACCGCACTACTTCACCACCGCGCTGCATCACTACATCACAACATCTCCACCGTCGTACCTACATACAGCACCTATTCCACTACCGCATACCCTGTGCACCACTACATCGGGGTAAGCACACTCTTCCCTGGGAATTGCAACTCGGCCAGGACTTGATCAACCGCATGACGGAGCCTCACGGGGTGGATGGGGTTTGATCCCACCATATGTTTCATGGACGGGACTTGTTGTATCTTGATATGATAGTATAAGATGACGAATACTCGAGGATGGAGCCAAGTCCCGTCCCGCCACAGCGACCTTCGCTGGGACTCGAAGGGGTAGTTTTGGGTTCGTCAAAGTGGCCGTGATGATGGTCATGATCCACCACCATGAAGACGGTCACCGTGGTCATATCATCATGGCGGTGCTAATCACCATGGTACGAACCGTGATCACCACCATCGCCCCGACGGTCACCAACAACGTAAGCGGCCATGACGGTCACCGGCAATCAAGCCATCACGGACCACATGCCGAACGCGCTAGCGCGTCATTTTGCCCCATCTGCCCCTTTTATTTCCACCGCAGTATGCCACTAGATCGCATCTCACAACCATTTTATTTCGAAGCTATCACAGGACAGTTCGCCACTTGGGTCCCACCGCCAGCCCAAACGGTGAACACCAATCGGGGGAGCTCTGTAGAACCTGCCAGGGGCGTGTGCCACCCCTGTGGCGCACCATGGGTTGCGCGATCCACCCACAGGTCCCCTTATCGGTTGAGCCGTCCATGGGTAGCGCCATGATTCGTCCATGGGTTGTGTTGCGCCGTAGTTTGCGCACTCGGCGGCCGAACATACATGTGCCAGCTGTTGGCTGCGCCATAGGTTGCCAACCCTGCGGTTGAGAATGAAACAGCTTGCTTTTGGTTGCGCCATGGGTTGCCAAGTCGGTGGCCGAGAGTATACCACCCTGTTGCTAGTTGCGCCATTGCGGCCGAGAACGAGACGGCCCGCTAGCGGTGACAACTTAGTCTACGCATGGGGCGGCTTGTAATAGGATGGGTATTTTTTTTTTTCATGTGCCATGGGCCTCGGACTCGGCGGCCGAGATTCGGGCAGCCTGCCATGGGTTGCGCATTCGGCCGCCGGTAGAAACAGAAAACGGCCTGCTAGGGGTTGCGCCACAAGTTGCGATTCTTCGACGGCCGAGAACGAAAAGGCCCGCCGTTGGTTGCGCCATACAGTGGAGGCCCATGCCAAGAAGCACCCTGCTTGCCTCCAGGGTGCCCTGGGTTTTCTGGGCTTCGGTGGTGTTGCTGCGGAAAGCGCGACGCTCCCACACCAAAAATCCACGTTGCCGGGGTCGCAGGGTTGGGCTTTTTGTGGAGGGTTTCTTGCGGACTGGCCTCCGCTGTAGGTTGCCAGCTCGGCGGCCGAGCACACCACAGCCTCACATAGCTGCTGTGCCCTAGGCTGCGCACCCGGCAGGGCCAGAACAAACACACGTCTTGCCATTGGTTGCCCGTGGGCTGCCCGCTCGGCCGCCGAGGGCACACCAGCCTGCAGCTGGTTGCGCCAGACGTTGTTCACTCGGTGGCCGAGGTTCAAGCGGGCTGCCACTGGTTGCGCCGTGGGTTGCCCCCCCGGACGGCCGAGAATCAAACGGCTTGCTATCGGTTGCGCCGAAGACCTGCTCAGGCGGGTGCCGAGAATCAACTGGCTGCATAATTGGTACGGCCAGTCAGTCAGCCAGGCAGTCCAGAGCACCTCGCGAAAAACAGATTCGGGCTGGGCCCGCATTCCGTTACCATCACGGTTGTTGTCTTGACCACACCTTTTTTTTCTTCTCTCCATCCCTCTCTAATGTCCTTCCCCCTCCTCAGGTTCACTTCCCATGTCTTCCGGCCTACTCTTCGTTTTGCTTGCATTTCAAAGTCAGTCGTTCCTTTGTGTTTGTTCTTTGTTGGTTTCCTTGCAGGACCTGTGGGCTGGCTCCAAGCCGGGCGATCTCGAGATGGTCTCCCGCCTCGCTTTTGTTGTTTGCTTATCCTGGTTTTTGGGTTGGATGTTTACGAAGACAGGACCAGGAATGTGACAGTGGCAAATTCAATGAGGAGGAAGGACTCAGTGATATTCGCCACACAGGGGGATCTCGATTCTGGCCGCCTGCTGCAGTGGAAGGATGGATTTGATTCAGTGTATTACGCCGCACTGAAGACCCCGTGGGAGCATGGGGTGCTATTTGACCGCGGGGTCATATCCCTTGAGCCGCCTGGGACTTTCGAAGGCTCTTTCGGGGCTTCTTCAGGCAATCTTGACATCTGGAGTTGCACTGCCGCAGGGGTGACGGCGAAGTCTGGCCTCGGGATGGGGCTGGAGTTTATTTTCTTTCTGGAAAGGAATATTCCTGTATCCTTAAAAAACTATATTGGGACCACCCCATGAGATCGGGGGGGGGGTCCACCATGCCCACGCACACCCTCCAGAGCCTCCACTACGGCCGAACAGACGGCCAAAGACGGCCCAACGGTCGGTCTCCATGCTTTCCAAGACAGCCAAGATGGCCCCCAAAGAGCCCCAAATGGCCCCAAGATGTCTGCAAGACGACCGAGGATGACCGAGTACGGCCTCAAGTGGCCCGCACGAGGGCCCAAGAGGCCCCCAAGAGGCTTCTAAAACCCCTCAAGACGCCTCCCAGAGGCCCTCCAGGAAGGCTCGAAGAGACCACCATTATCTTGTTTCGATTGGTTTATGAACGACTTAGTCATCTGCTTATTTTCGTATTTCCCCTCGGCCCAGGGCGGCCCAAGAGGCCCCTAAGCTCGCGACAACATCGCCCAAGAGGCCTCCAAGATGGCCCCATCACGGCCCAAGAAGCCCCCAATATGGCCCCAAGACGGCCCAAGAGGCCTCCCAAATGCCCAAGATCGACTCAGCGACGCCCCTGGACCGCCCCAAGAGGGCCCAAGATGGCTCAAACCGGCCGGGGACGGCATCCGACGGCGTCACACGGGAAAGGTGCCCAAGAACCCTCCGCAAGGTATCCAAGAGCCCACGGAAGCCTATACTCGCCGGCGGACTCGGACCAGCCTCACACGCCTGGCACCGGTGGCCCCGCGCCCCAAAGGTGCTGCGCACATCTTGCCAACGGGCCAAGAGGGTTAAGAACCGACTACCTTTGCGTGGACACTCCGAGGAGGGGCCGCCCACTGCCACCGACCAGGCGAAGCATCGGCCAACACGCCCAGCGCACGGGGCGCCCGCGAGGCGCTCACGGCAGCGCGCGAGACTCGGATCCTTCTGGCGCCCGGAGCCGGCACACAGGAACCGAGGTGCGCCACCTCGTTTTCCGGCCCCGCCCGCACGGTGCAAACCGCAGGTGCGGCCGCGCAGGTGGGCCGAGCCCTTTTCAACTCACCGAGCGCGCTCCACTACTCGCAGAGTGCATCTTCGCAAACGTCCGAGAAACACACGTCTGCATCGATGTGATGTGTCGTGAATCCTCTTCGGCATATCCAGGCCATTTGCGAGCAGTTAGTTACTTTGCGAGTGGTGGAGCGCGCTTGTCTACCAACGCCCCTCCAATGCCAAGGGCGCCCCGTCAGCGCTGCGCACCGCCGCCGCAGCGGCCCCTCGCCATCGCCGCCTCCGTCGTCGTCCGCGGCGGCGTCGCCGCCGCCACCGTCACCGCCGTCGTCGGCGTCGCCGCCGCCGTCGCCGCAGCCGCCGTCCTCGCCGCCGCCGCCGCCGCTGCAGCCGTCGCCGTCGCCGCCGTCGAAGCTGTCGAAGCCGTCGAAGCCGTCGCCGCCGAAGCCGACCTCCGCCTGGGGTCAGGAGGCCGTCTGGTCGCGTCGGAGGCGGGCGCCTCCTCCGCCACTCGGCGAGGCCCCCTCTGGGAGCGTCCTGATGTCCCTCGAGACCGAGGGCCGGCGAGAGAGCTTCAGGATTTCCTCCCACCCTTCCCGCCGCCGCACAGGGGGGCCGGCCCCCGCTGCGAGAGGAGGGGCGGGGAGGAGGAGGGGGAGCAGGAGGAGGAGGAAGGAGGAGGAGGAGGAGTGGTGATGGTGATGGTGATGATGATGGTGATGGTGATGATGATGATGATGATGATGATGATGATGATGATGATGATGATGATGATGATGATGATGATGATGATGATGCTGTTGATGATGATGATGATGGTGGTGACGATGATGATGATGATGCTGATGGTGATGTTGATGGTGGTGATGCTGATGCTGATGCTGATGCTGATGTGAAATGCTGATGCTGATGCTGATGCTGATGATGCTGATGCTGATGCTGATGCTGATAATGATGATGGTGGTGATGATGATGGTGGTGGTGGTGATGGCATGACGATGACGATGACGATGATGATGCTGCTGATGATGCTGATGCTGTTCTTGGTGATGATTATGATAATGATGAAGATGATGATGGTGATGGTGATGATGATTATGATGATAATGCTGATTATGCTGATGTTGATGGTGATGATGTTGATGATGACGCTGATGATGGTGATGTTGATGATGGTGCTATTGTTGTTGATGATGGTGATGGTGATGGTGATGATGATGATGATGCTGATGATGATGATGATGATGATGATTATTAAGATGAGGATGGTGATAGTGATGGCGATGGTGATGATGATGCCGATGCTGATGCTTATGCTGATGCTGATGAGGATGATGATGATTGTGACGATGCTGATGATGCTGATGATGATGGTGGTGATAATGATGATGGTGATGGTGATGATAATGATGCTGATGATGGTGATGATGATGACGATTATGATGATGATGGTGATGATGATTATGATGATGATGATGCTGCTGATGCTGATGCTGATGCTGATGCTGATGCTGATGATGAGGAGGAGTAGGAGGAGGAAGAGATGAGGAGGAGGAGGAGGAGGAGGAGGAAGAGGAGGAGGAGGAGGAGGAGGAGGAGGAGGAGGAGTAGGAGGAGGAGGAGGAGAGAAAGAGGAGGAGGAGGAGCAGGAGGAGGAGGAGCAGGAGGACCAGAGTAAACCCAAGATGCACCACTGGTGCTGCAATACACCCTCCCGTCCAAATTCCCCATCCTCACCAGTCCCTACAAGGACTTTCCACTGCAAGATGCGCCCCCTTGAAGGACCAGCGCCAGGGGCGTGCCACTCAGGCGCGAGCCCTGTACAAGTTTGACGGAGGAGGAGGACGAGGAGGAGGAGGAGGAGGAGGAGGACCACCTGCAAACCCAAGACTCATCAACGATGTTGAAATAAACCCTCCCTCCAAGCTTCCTCATGTGCCTCTACAAGGGTTCATGTCCTCTGAGGGAAGTGCTCCGTTGGGAGACAACCGCTTGAAGACCCTGAGACGTGCCAAAACATTATCCTCGGGACTCCAACACCACGAATCAAGGTGGCTGTTGCGTCTTGACGATCTTGAACCGTGCCAGAATACCATTCCTGGGACTTCAGCACCGCGAATCAACCTGACTGTTGCGCCCTGAAAACCCTGAATCGCTCCAAAACGAACTGTCTGGCACGTTGACCATGGAATTCCGTGAAACCCTTGCAACTGTTTACAACGAGTGTGCGCGGCGTTCAAGGGAGAGCCATATTTGGAAAACGATCCGCCTTCAATCCGTGAAGCTTTTGCAAGTGTTTAAGACGGATGTGCGCGGCGCTCAGGCAAGAGTCACACTTTGAAAATGGCTCGCCCTCCATCCGTGAGAATTTTGCATGTTTTATGGCGAATGTGCGCGGCGCTAAGGCAAGAGCCACATTTTGAACACCACCTGCCCTAAATCCGTGAATCTCCTGCAGCTTGTTAAGACGAGCGTGCGCGGCGCAAAGGATAGTATAATGGCCCCCTGGCGCTCTGAGGTGCAATGGCAACTTCGATTCGCATCTTTCAGATGTTTTAGAGGAACACGCATTCACATGCAGGCTTGGGGGGGGGGCAGTTCGGTCCGACAAAGGCGAGAGTCACATTTTGAAAACCGCCCGCCCTAAATCCGTGAAGCACTTCCCACTTTCTAAGCGAACATGCGCAGCGCTGAAGCGAGAGCTACACGTTGAAAACCACCCGCCCCTAATCCGTGAAGCTCATGCGAATTTAAAAAAGGAGTGTGCGCGGAGCTCAGGCGATAGCCACTTTTTGAAAGCCACCCGCCCCCCATTTTTGAAACTGTTGGCAGTTTTTGTGTTTCAGCGTCATACATGGTGAGGAAGTCTCCGGCGAAACGCCCGGCCCGTCGATTGGCCTCCGGGCGTGACAGGAAGGAGTTATGTGTCAGGAAACGTAGAGGAGGAGAAAGAGAAGGAGGAGGGAGGAGGAGGAGGAGGAGGAGGAGGAGGAGGAGGAGAAAAAGGAGGAGAAGGAGGATAAGGAAAAGGAGAAGGACAAGGTAAGGGAGGAGGAGAAGGAGGAGGAGGCGGAGAAGCTGGAGAAGGAGGAGGAGGAGGCGGACAGGAGGAGGAGGCGGAGCTAGGAGGAGGAGGAGGAGAGGCGGACGGAGGAGGAGGAGGAGGAGGCGAAGCAGGAGGAGGAGGAGGAGAGGAGGAGAGGGAGGAGGGGAGGGGGAGGGGGAGGGGGAGGAGGAGGAGGAGGAGAGGAGGAGGAGGAGGAGGAGGAGGAGGAGAGAGGAGGAGGAGGAGAGGAGGAGAACGGAGGAGACGGGGGGGGGAGAAGGAGGAGGGGGGGAGGAGGAGGAGACGGGAGGAGGAGGGGAGAGGAGGACGGGAGGAACAGAGGAGGAGGAGGAGGAGGAGGAGGAGGAAGAGGAGGAGGGTGAGGGGGAGGAGGAGGGGGGAGAGGAGGAGGAGGAGGAGGAGGAGGAGGAGGAGGAGGAGGAGGAGGAGGAGGAGGAACTTCTGGCCGTGAGCATCGAGGAAGTCTCGAGCGGAAGCACGATCTTGAAGAGGAGCCGGCCTCCATTCAAGCAGCTGTACAACACATCCGGATTCCTGGCCTGTCGGGTAAGAAAAACTCGAGCGGACGCCCACTGTCGAAGAGGAGCCGCCCGTCATCCGTGCAGCTGTTGCATCTGCTGAATCATTTGGACTTACATTCTCATGCGCTCTCCATCGGAAGCTCCACTTTGGAAAAGTAGCCGCCCACGATCCGATCCAGGAGCCGCCCTTCGCACGTGCAGCTTCTGCGCATGTTCAGGTTTGTTCATGCCGTCTCCAGCGAACGTCCCACTCTGAAAGGGGATCGCAGGTCGGGAGGTGTATATAAGTGCTTCGAGAAGAAACGAATCACATGTGCTACGTAGTCTCCAGCGATAGCCCCACTTTGAAAAGGATCTGCCCGCATTCCCGGTGCAATGTTTGCAGGACTGTAGTACGACCGTGCGAGGCGGGCGCCAAGGCGAGGTCCCAGTGTTGGGAAAAGGAATCGCCCTACGTTATTGAAGCTGTTGCAGAACTTTAACGAATGCGCGCGGCTCAAATGCGAGAGCCCCATCATGTGAAGGACCCGGCCTCCATCCTTGAAATTGTTGCGAGCTTTCGCGACGAATGCTCGAGGCGCTATGGCTATGGCGAGAGCTCCATTTGATAACCACGCCCCCTCCATCCTTGAAATCTGCTGCAAACTTTTAAGATTCACGCGCGAGGCGCAAAGGCGAGAACCGCATGTTGAAAACGACACACCACCCTCTATGTTTGAGGCGGTTGCAGTTTTCAAGCTTCAGGATCATCGGTGGCGAGGGAACCTCAGGCGAAACGCCCAGCCCGCGCTATCGACACGCATGGGGGTGCGACTGGGAGGATTGCCTGTTGTGAGGAAAGGAATGGAGGAGGATGAGGAGGAGGAGGGAAGGAAGGAGGGAAGGGAGGAGGGAAGGAAGGAAGGAAGGAAAGGATGAAAGAGAGGAGGAGACGGAGGAGGAGGAGGAGGAAGAGGAGGAGAAGGAGGAGGAGGATCTGGAGGTTTTGCAGCTCGCGGGCCGAATCCACTCCCATCCAGCGCTTCAAATCTAGCGCAGCTCAGCTTCGAGTAGCAGCCATCCATCAGCTCGCGTCAAGCACGCAAAATGATCCGAACTGACACTCTGGAAACGGCGCCGCTCCCTGGCGACCCCGCCGGCGCGGACCAGCCAGCCCCCGCCGTCGAGGGCGGCCCGCCCGCATGATGGCCGAACCGCGGCCCGCGCAGGCAGGGGGCAGCATCCCGCTGCATAATGACTGGGCCCGCGCCGAGAGGGTGCACGTGTCGTTGCCGCGCCGGCGTGGGACGACCTCCTGGACACGTACCTTCAGCAGTGACACCGCAGCTGGCCCTCCTCGGCCCCCAGCTTCCTCCTCCCATGGCATGCTTCGCAGTGTTTCACGCGCGTACGCCTTAGCAGGCGCATCTGCGCCCCGCCGCCGCGCCTTCACGGCGCCACGCGCGCGGAGCCGCCGCAGCCACCGCAGGCTGCGCGTTCCAATTGACTGCCTTCAGGGCGCATCTTTTTGGGCTCTTGTCGAAAGAGATATGCTTCGACTTCTGCCGCACCTTCCAAAGCTCGGATCAGTCCAGGTCTAGCTCCAGCGCAGTGCCGCGGCCCTGTGCTGGTCATTGGAGGCCCCCCTTCTGCTCCGTGTGTAACTTCCCCCCACAGAACTCGAGCCGACCTTATCGACTGAGGAGCCATGTAGATGATCTGCCAGTCCCAGTGGACCCGCTCGCAGTCTCTGCCGTCACGCGGCGTGGCGAACCCACATCAGCCCCCTGTCGCGAAGAACTCGATCAGGCAGCCCAGCTGCGCTTGCACGGCGTCCACGAGGAAGTCCTCGAGGCGGTCTCTCGCGCGGCTGCCGTCGAGGTCTCCGAGGTCTCCGATGCGGACGCTTTGTTGGGCCCCCTCCGGCACGGTCTCGAAGAGACACGTCCTCGGCCCGCGTGCTCTCGACACTGGCCTGGTGGCGGGACCTGCTGAAGGCTGCGGGAAGGGCAGCGCCCGGGCTTCGTCGGATGTCTCCGGAGGTCTCCAGCGCTCTCCGCGGAGGCCCCCAGAGGTCAGAGGAGGAAACGGTGCCCATACCTCTACCCTTGCCTCGTTTTCCCCTTTTTCGGCCTCCTGCGAGGCCCTCGTCGCCACCGCTGGATTCGCCTCGAACTCCTGGTCAGAACGCACCCCACGAGAGGTCCAGGGAGTAGCGGTTTTTGGTACCTCTTGGTTTCCCCACTAACTAGCGCTCTCCACGGAGGCCCCCAGAGGTCTTTGTGGAGGCCTCCGGAGCTCCTCGGAGGGGGCTCCAGGGCACCCTGAGGCCCCACAAAGGGCCGGAGGGCGTCCAGAGACCTCGATCGCCGACCACCGATCTTAGATCGCCGATCTTCGATCGAGGTGCGGCGAGCGCCAGTGGCTTTCTGGCGTCGGGCTCCGCTCCTCGGAAGTCCCAGCTCGGTGCGGTGACCACACCGTCGAGTGGGTCAGCGGGGATCTGGCGTGGGCGCACGGTCCTGGGATCTGGTTCGTTCTCCGCTCTCGCTGTCGTGGGGCGACTTCCAGGGCGCGTGCTTTCAGCAGTGGCGCTGCCGCCGTCCCTCCATGCCTCGTCCTTCTAAGTATCTCCTCCCTGTCGAACCCCGAGGCCTGTCGGAAGGGCGGGCTGGGCGCTTCGCCGGAGATGTTCGTACCATCTATGGACCTTAGCTGAAACAGCGGCAACAGTTTCAGAGATGGAGCGCGGGTCGAATCCAAAATGTCAAAATGTGGCTCTCGCCTTGGCGCCGCGCACATTCGTTTTGAAGATTTGCAAGAGTTTCACGGGTTGAGGGCGGGTGGCTTTCAAAGTGTGGCTCTCGCTTTGGCGCCGCGCACATTCGTTTAAAAGATTTGCAAGAGTTTCACGGGTTAAGGGCGGGTGGCTTTCAAAGTGTGGTTCTCGCTTTGGCGCCGCGCACATTCGTTTTTAAAGAGTTGCAAGAATTTCGCTGATTGAGGGCGGTTCTTTTCAAAATGTGGCTCTCGCCTGAGCGCCGCGCACATCCGTCTCAAACATCTGCAAGACTTTCACGGATTCCTATGCCAACGTGCCAGAAATTCGGTTTTGGAACGATTCAGGATTGTCAGGGCGCAGCAATTACGTTGTTTCGCGATGTTGACGTCCCAGGAACGGTGTTGTTTCGCGGTGTTGACGTCCCAGGAACGGTGTTCTGGCTCGATTCAGGATCGTCAAGACGCAACGTTGGGTGGGGTCCCTAGATTGATGCGTGGCGATGGGGTCCCTAGATCTTCAAACGGTTTTCTCCCAATGGGGCAGTTTCCTTAGTGGAAATGAACCATTGTAGGGGCCTGCGGAGGGAGCTTGGAGGGAGAGTATATTCCAACATCATTGGTGAGTCTTGGGTTTACATTGCTCCCACTTCTCCTCTTCCTCCTCCCGTGGAGTGCTTCACGCGCGCGCGCGCGCATTTTAATAGGCGCCTCGGCGCTCCCCCCGCCGCGCCGTCATGGCGCCAGGCGCGCGGAGCCGCAGCCGTGGCCGCAAAAGTCGTGCGGTGACGGACCGTGCGGTGACCCGACAGGCCGAGGGCGAGGACCCCGATCTGTCCGGAGCCTGCTCGCACGAGAGGCCGCCAGCCCTCTGGTCGAGGAGCGTGTGCCTTCCTCGCCGTGAGCGGCCCCACGTTGTGGCACTTCCCTCTCCCCCGCCCTCCAGGTTCTGCCGGGGGCACTGCTGGCTCGGGGGAGGTTCCTGCTGTCGACGAGCGCGTTCCGCTACTCGCGAAGCAACTACTCGCAAATGGCCTGGAGCCCCCGCGGGGGATCTGCGATAGATTACATCAAAGCAGACATGTGTCTCTCTGAGGTTTGCGAGTAGGCACTCTGCGAGTAGTGGGACGCGCTCGGCGATGCTGCCTCGGCTCCCGCCTCCTCGGAGTCGGCCCGTGGAGCGAGCGGAGCTTCTCCGCCGCCCCCTTCGTGCGGGGAAGAGAGCGCCGGGCGGTCGCTCGGCAGGGCGGTGCCGGTCCGGAGGCTTCGGACTGGCATCGCATGCAGGCAGTAGTTTTGCCCTATCACTTGGTTCTCTGACGAGAGCGTCTCCAGAAGGTCGTTCTATATATATGTATATATATATATATTACAAAATATTATATGATCTAGTTTGGTTGATATTATATTTAGGACTATTAGGCTTCTTCTTATTGTTTTTATTCCGTATATTATTCTTAGTAGTAGTATTATTGGGAGTATAAGCATTAGTCTTATATTATATTATATTATATTATTATTATTATTAATGTGATTCAGAATCGGATTATTATTTTCATGATATCTGTTATGTAGAACGATCTCAGAGCCTCACGGAGCGGCCTGAAGCCGCCGCGGCGCCCGATAGTACAGGCTGCAGACCCGCCGGCTCGCAGAGGCCCCCTGGCGGATCCTCATCCGCAGGCGCAGGGGAGGCCCGGAGGGAAGAAAGAGCGGTGAGCATAGACGTCTGAGGGGTCTTTCCGCCATCGCACCGCACCCGTGGGCGGGGCGGCAGGCCGGGGTCGTCCACTGTTGGTGTTGCAGTTGCTGTTGTGTTGCGCGCAGCCTAGATTATGCCGATGTCATCCGGGCGAGTTGGGGCCGTGAGATTGCCTCCAGGCTGCGCCCGCTGGACGCGAAACCCGGTTTCCTGGGTTTCGATGTTCCTGCCATGGGAGGCCTGACGTTCCCACGCCAAAAAGCAATGGGCGTCTTGGGGTCTCGGGGTTGGATTCCCTGCGGGAGGTTTCTTGCGGTCGAGCTCATACTGCAGGTGAGGTCCTTGGGGGGATTCCGAGGTCACCGTACGGTCTGTCGCCGAACCATTTGGGGTCTCCCAAGGCTCCCCGTCCCGCGCGCGGCAGGCGAGTTCTCCTAGCGTAGCCCTCCGGGTTGTGATGGGCGCCGCGAAGCTCGACTGAGAGAGCCCCCATCCCCACCAAGGGGGGGTATGTCGGAGGAGAACATATCACATAAACGCACACTTTGCGAGGTCCGCGGATCTTGGGTCGGCGCTGGACCCCCCTCCGCGCCAGAGGCGCCGCCGATGGGGTCCAGCGCGGATCCAAGGAATCTTCGCGAGCATCCGACAGATTGTGCTTGTGCGGCTTTGCCTGCTTCCAGCAGGTAGGCCAGCGAGGCTGAGGTTTCTCCAGTGGGGGGATTGTTTTGCTTACCCAGATGCTTGGGGGCGGCCAAGCGGGGGGTGATGACTAGGGAGGGATACCGTGGGCCTAGGCCAGGATACCTCTCCGGATTTCATGGCCCCCTCTTCTGGTCTCGAGGCGTCCCCGGGTCCCCCCTCTCGTGCTCGGACGTGCCTCTCAGGAGAGGCTAAGTCCAGACAGAGTAAGCCCAGACGGAAACCGAGCACTCCGCATGGACTTATTACTCCGTATGGATTCAGCATCCTGTCAGGGGAGGCCAAGTCCAGACGGAGCAAGCCCAGACGGAGGCCGAGCGTCCGCGGACGTGCCCTGGACGCCCCTGAGATCCGATGTTGCCACAAGAGATGCAGCATCGCAACAATAGTCGCGCCTGGAGCCCCAGACCCCATATTTCTGCGTCATTTCTCGAGCCGGATCGATCTGTGAGGGTCCCAGGGCCCGAACTCGAGCGAGAGAACGCCCGTTGTGAAAAACCCCAGACCCCACATTTCTGCGTCATTTCTCGAGCCGGATCGGGACGTGGGGGTCCCAGGGCCCGAACTCGAGCGAGAGAACGCCCGTTGGGAAACAGACACTGCAGCGACAGGCCCTCGGCGGCACTCGAGGCTCCCGGCGCCCGGCTCCGGCGCCCCCGCCCCTCCGCCCCGCGCCCCTCCGCGCCAGCGGGCAGCTGGCGCCCGGCAACGCGGAGCTGAGATGGAGCGACGGCGAGGCGCCCCGCTTGCGCCGGGCCCGGGTGTCCTTGCGTCAACATCGCAGAGCGGATTCCGTTCGGAGAGCGATGGGGTGGACCCGGGGTGTCCTGGAGAATTTCGTTCCGCATTTCAAGGTGAAGTTCGTGCGGATTTTTGGTTGGCCAACAATGACGACTAAACAAAATCCACGCGAAATTCACTTCGTTTTTCGCTCGCCGTTTCGGGAAAAAATCCACGCAGAAATCCACGCAGAAATCCGTTGCAGCACGTCTGCAAGGCCTGTGCAATGACGGGTGTGGCGTTGGGAGCCTCGAGACTCACCGAGCTCGTTCCGCTACTCGCAGAATGCCTACTCGCAAACGTCTGACCAACACGTGTCAGATCTCTGTGTGCTACGCCATAGACATAAATGTTTGGCGCTCCGCGCGGATTTCTTGGATCCGTGCTGGGGCCCCCCTGGCGGCGCCTCTGGCGCCGCCCCTGGTGCGCTCCGCTCCAGCTCAGATCCAAGAAATCGCGCAGAGCGCCAACAGTTTATGTTCAGGTCTTCTAAAAGGGCCTGCTCGCAAACATCTGACAACCACGTGTTCGATCTTTGTGTAATGGCTCGTAGATCCCTCGCGGTGGATCCAGGCCATTCGCGAGTAGTTACCCTTGAGAGTAATTAGTGGAGCGTGCTTGTCTAGAGACGGATGTCAATGCAAAACGTGGGTCAGCCAGAGCGCCAGATCTTGCAGGATCTTGCGGAGCCAGGGGTGCATGGACCCAGGCTTGCGCGCAGGATCCTGCAGGATCTTGCAAAGCTTGACTGGCCCGGGTCTGCATTGACCTGGGCTAGTAGAAGCCCGAAGTGGCCACAGCTTAGGTGCAACATTCTAGGCCGCCTAGATGGGGTCCGAATAGAGGGGGTCGAGGGATCCTTCCGCATTGCCGCTGCATCGGCGATGCGGCTCGACGTGGAGCCAGATTTTCCCCACACTGATAGCGCCGATGCATCTCGCTGGCGTCGCCAGCGCATCACTGCATCGCCGATGCATCGCCAGTGCGTCGCCGATGCATCGGCGATGCGGTGCGGTCCTCCGTCCCCGGCTGCTCGGGCCCCACCAAACTAGGAGGCCTTGAAACGTCGGGGTTGTGGGGGGGCGGATGCGTATCGAGGACAGAAGCATATGACAGCCATGGGCATCATGTCGCGGGATATTGCCGGCGACGACCTTGGTCACGGCCCATGCTGCCCGTCTCCGATTCGCCAGGATGATCATCGAATGGACGACGCGGACCTCCGAGTTTTATGTTCATGTCATTCTTCGTTCCCCTAACGATGGACGATGCAACGACGTTTGCTGTCAATATTTGCCATCGTCATCGTCTTCTTCCCCTACAGCTCAGGGGCACATGCATCGACCCCCCATCGCCGATTCGTCGCCGATAGGGACCCGACAACCCACCCCGGCCAGGCAGGTGCGGATTCGCCATCGGGGGCCTAACGCCGATCTGTCGTCGATGTTTCCCTTCCTGAGCCAGTCCCCCCGAACCTTCCGCCTCAGGACCGGCCACGGTCGGAGGGGCTGTGGCCCTTAGGCCTGGAACCTATGCAATCACAAGACGACTTGAAGATTGGTTGGGGTACCCCGGACGGGGCCAGGACGAGGATAAATCCGTTCCAGAGCGTTTCGGAATGCTCTCGGAGCGTTCTGGAACGCTCTGAGAAGGCCGCGACACCCGAGACATCATCCAGAGCCGCTGGATCTCAGAGATTCTCGATTCATCCTCACCCGATGTCATCCTCCTGGCTTCGTCTTGGGTTATAATGTTCCAACCTACTTTAGCCTTGATCACCAGAAAGAATTTCGAGCACCCAGAAAGCACCCCAAAACTCGAGGGTTTTCACGTGTCGGGCCCTGGGAGATTGTTTTGACGCTGTTTCGACACTCTCTCGACACCCTTTCGAGACTTTTCTGGGTGCTCGAAATTATTTCTGGGATGTGGTCCTTAAGTACGATGGGAGCAACATCCTCCAGAGCCGCCGGATCTCAGAGATTATCGATTCATCCTCACCCGATGTCATCCTCAAGCTGGCTTCGTCTTGGGTGTCCTTCTAGCCTTCCTCCTAGCTTCGTCTTGGGTGTCCTTCTAACCTTCGTGTGTTGGGCTGCCCACCCCAGGCAGTTGTTTTTTGCCTTGGGGTACCTCCACAGGGCAGTGGGCCCTCGTCGAAGGGGCTCATGCTCGGCGGACGAGCTGTAGTCCTGACGCCCGGGGGAGAGCGAGGGAGGTGGCAGCGAGCAAAGAGGGAGGAGCATCGACGATAGAGAGAAACAGAGAGAGAGAGAGAGGGAGAGTGGTGATCGTTTCCGATTCACTGTTTTGCCGATCGGCGCGGGCCCTCGCAGCCCCCTCCCCTTCTCACCTTGGAGTAGATCTTGGCTGTATTTGGCGCCTGTTTCGAGCAGGTGGAGTCTCCCTGATAGGACGAACTGTTGCAAACAGTCGCATGAAGCAGAGGTCCGCAGCCAGAACCCCCCTTCCCCCCCCTTTCTGCCCAATGCCTAACGCCGAATGAGAAGACGTTCACGAGGCGGAGTGCGGGAGGGACCGTAGATGGACAAAAAAGTGGAGCCCTTTCCTCTCTCCTCCACCACCCGCCTTGGCCACGCGCAGAGGGGGCTTAGGGGGGAGGGTCTCTCAGCAGCACCCCTGCCTCTGAGAAGTCGCGGGCCGTGCCCGTAGACGGAGGAGGAGGAGGAGGAGGAGGAGGAGGAGGAGGAGGAGGAGGAGAAGGAGGAGGAGGAGGAGGAGGAGGAGGAGGTCTCTCGGAAGCACCCCTGCCTTTGTGAAGGCGCGGGCCGTGTCTGTAGACGCAGGGCCGGCGCCTTCTGAGAAGCCGCCTCCTTGTACGAAGCCTTCCCCCCTCCCCCTCCGCGCAGAGGGGAGTTCAGGGGGAGGAGGGGAAGGTCCCTCGGAAGCACCCCTGCCTCTGAGAAGGCGCGGGCCGCGTCTGTAGACGCAGGGCTGGCGCCTTCTGAGAAGCCGCCTCCTTGTACGAAGCCTTCCCCCCTCCCCCTGCCCCTTCCGCGCGCGCCCACCGCCGCTTGCGCGCGCCCCGGCTCGAGAGCCACCTCTCCCGAGGGGGTCGCCGGCACGAAGGGCTCCCCCCCGCCCCACGGGGAGCGGCGGAGCGTGGCTCTCCCCGGCCAGGTGATCTCAGGGGAAGACCCCAGTGCTGCCGCCCGCATGCGTCCCTCCCCCACCCCAGTGCAGCGCTTCGTGGCCCCATGGGGAGCTCCACCGACGGCCCCAGTGCTACCTGCCGCCCGCGTGCGTCCCCCCCACCCTGAGCAGCGATGCGTGGCCCGATAGGGTGCTCCACCGACGGTCCCAGTGCTACCGCCCGCATGGGCCCCCCCCATCCAGTGCAAAGTTTCGTGGCCCCATAGGGAACTCCACCGAAGACCCCAGTTCTACCGCCCGCATGCGCCCCCCTCACCCAGTACAACGTTTCGTGGCCCCGTAGGGAGCTCCACCGAAGGTCCCAGTGCTACCGCCCGCATGCGTCCCCCCCACCCACTACAGCGCTTCGTGGCCCCGTAGGGAGCTCCACCGGAGGT